GTATTTGTCTTCAATCTCACTAATTCTGTCTTCCATTGATTCAATTCTACACCTTTGCCTGTTCAATGTGTTATCTATTTCTGAAAATTTAGTATTAATCTTCTGGCTTTCTATCTGTAGATTTTGTATCATTTCTAAGTTTTCATTTATTTTGTCATTTTGTTCTTGTATTGTCTTCTGAAATTGTTCTAGGGTTTTATCTATGTTTTCCTCAATTTTGTCAGTGTTTTCCTTGATCTGTCTCTCAATCTGTTAAAGGTACCTGTGGTGGTTATGTTGTGTCAACTTGGCTGGGCCTGGTTAAGTGCTTGGGCAGCTGGATATAGTATTCCCCATGAGACTGGTAATCAACTCCATGGTGGAATCTACTGGGAGCAGCTGAGTAGCTGCCTTTGGGTATGTGGTCTGCTTCCCATATATAAGAAACAGCTTTGGGAATGATCTCTAGCTTATGGCGCACTTGAACCTGGCATGTAGTCATGTCATTGTTCAGCAGCCCGCTGTGCTTTGCCAACCTTGGGACTTACAATGGACTTAAATTAATGGCCTGCCATGTGGTTTGGTACCATCAGGACTGTGCCTTTTTACTTGTCAACCTTGGTTTTGTCAGCCTCAGCAGCCAGCAGCTGTCTGAATGAAGAAACGCCTCTAGCTCCAGTGGGCTGGGAGCAGGAGGCAGAGCTGGACCCCAAGATTGAGGGGCTTTCACCCAGCCCCTAGAGTCTGGCACTTTGAACTTGGACTTCTAGCCTCCTGAGCTGTAAGAGAATAAACTCCTGTTTGTTAAGGCCATCCCATTTGTGGTATATTCTTGTCAGAGCAGTACTAGGTAACCAAAACAGTACCTAAATATAATTATTTTGCATTCTTTATCAGGGAGTTCCAATGCTGCTTCTTTCTCAGGGATGTGTTCTAGGTCTGTATCCTGGTCCCTTGTTTCTATGGCTTTATCTTGCTTCTTTGTGTGGACTGTGATGGTCTGTTGTCTCTGAGTCATTGTGACATCTTTGTGTTTATGTTAATTGGTTATTGTATGTTGGAGTGATTCACCCAAGATTTTAGTTTTCTTTGGATTTTTGTTATCTGAGTAACCAGGGTACTGTTCTCCTCTATTTGCTGGTTGGCAGCACTTATGTACTCACCACTAGTATCTGTTCCTGTCTTCAGCCTCCTGTGTGTCTGTATTGTCCTTGGCAAGCAGAGCTTATTCTTAGGTTCTTGGATCTGAATAAGAATGCTGTCACTTTAAATATCCAAAATAGCTGCTATTTGTAAACATTCAAAATGGCTGTGCCCTCCGGGCAGCTGAAAGTCCACAGCTCAGTTTGCCTCCTTCTTTATTGTTTTCCTTTTTAGTCATCAGCCACAGCACAGTCATCCCATGCAGCCTTCAGTGAGCAGGACCAATTTTTAGGTTAATTTTCCAATCCTAATATCACTTGGAAATATTCAGGCTGTCCATGCCATCAGGATAGCTGACAGTCTGCAGCTCCGTTTGTTTCTTTACTCACTGCTTTCATGCAGGTCCTTCTACTAGTTGGTGTTTAATCTGCTTCTTTATCCTTCCTTTCAAAGCTCAGGGCTCCAGGATTGTCTTCTGTATCTGTATCAATTGGTTTCTCTTTTCTTTGTTGAAGAGGGTCTGTGTAGCTTGTCTGCCTATTCTGCCATCTTACCTGAAGTCCTTCAAAAATAATTTTTAATCATTAATTTAATGAATTTTCCCATGTACAGACCTGAATTGATCATATTCTTCAGTCTGTCAAAGGCCTAGCTTGTGTTTGTTTTACTGTGGCTCCCTCTCTGTAGTGTAATGAATTATTTAATACAGTTCTTCTAGCCATGGTCTTTGTGACTCCCACCAGATGACTGGATGGAACTGTGTAAATGTGAGGTGCTTGTGACCCACCAAGTTGATTGGATAGTTTGTTAGTAATGTAAATAATGTACATGGTACCCTTGTGTGGGTGGAACCATGCAAATAAAGTATATGAAACCCTAACATGGAAATTGGTCAGTTTTGCCATCTCACTAGGCTTGAAATGAGTAATCCCAGAGGCAGAAAGGGAGATCTCACCACCATCGAGAGAGAAGAACTGGGAGTAGAGTGCATTCTTGGACCTGAGATCCCTGCCCCGAGATGGGAGAGACATGGTGGCAGTAGAGGCAGCAGAACCAAGAGACTGGCATGAGATGGAGCAGTGGGCTTTCCAGTCTATGGAGTAAGAGTGCTGAGTGCCTTCAAGCAGGAGGCTGGCCAACAGAGTGGGGTGCCTCTTTGGGTGCCTGTCAGCAAAGCTAAAAGAGCTTTCTAACACTGGTCCAAGCAAGGCAGAGGCTGAGGCCAGAGAGAAGTATGCCTGTGACACATTTGAGAAGAAGCTGTCCTGATTGAAGAACTGTATCCTGACTTGTATCTGATCCTGAACTGTAGCCTGATATTTCCCTAAAAAACCCCATAATTGTGAGTATTGTCTGTGAGTTCATTGTGGCCACTGCAAGGAATTATCAAACCCAGCAGAGAAGTATAGAGTGCTGTAGGGGGTCAGTTGGTGTTAGAATTGGCAAAATGGTTGGAGGGTGGCAGCTTGTCTGACTTCTACCTCATAAGAATCAGCCTTGGGCTGTTGCGGTAGAACGTAATTCTCTCTCCCCCTTGTGAAGTTAGAGGAGGTCAGCCTAGGACACCCTCCCCCATACCATTTTTGTACTCTCATTCCAATCCTGCTTCCTTTCTTCACTATGGTACACACTCTAAGGGAATTCATGTGTGTCCTTCCAGTCTACCTTTTGGGCACTCAGTTACATACTTGTTTGGTGTATATGAGTAGGTTTAAAAATTTACATAAATGATGTATGATAGAACCCATTCTATTTTTACTTCTTTCTGTACTCAAAATTATGTTTTTAGGTTTATCCACTTAGATAACTAATCTAATAAACTGTTAATACAGCTTATTTTTTCTGATGGGTTCATCATTTATATGCATATAACACATTTTATTTCTCTATGCCATAAACAGTGAACAGATTCAACTTTTAAAATGATAATGTTCCCTTAAATCACTAAACATCTTATGAACTTTAATCTCCAAAATGCTGCTATAGCCCAGTACTGTTCTACAGGAATAAAGGTGGTACAGTCCTTTCTGTTTGAATCGCCATCTGATTATTCCCAGGTGGTTGTAATAGAAATGTCTGGCATTCAGAATTTCCTTGTGTTTCTTTAATAGGCAGTGCTGATAGTATGCAGGTGACTAGGAGGTCATAACAAGCTAACATTCTTCCCAGAATGTTCTGAAATTAATAGCCGTGAATTATGATTTTATTTATTCAGGATGTTTGTCCACTTGATAAAACTTTTATTTTTCTTCCTTTTCTTAATTTCAGGGCTACAAAGTCATTTAACTGGAATAATAATCAGACTGATTACTCCAGTCTCAGTGATTCCCAGTTCCTCTTTGGATCCCAGTTCTGTCCAGAAAATTCAGAGACCCTGTCAGCACCCTTGGACACTGGTACCCATTCAAGACAGCCAAAACAGTCACAACAGAGTTCTCTGGATGTGAGTCTTACTTCCTGAATTTCTCTGCACACATTTCATAATCATTTTGGAGATAAGCCACAAAGAAGACATTGTGTTGGGATATACTTTAGAATTATACATCTCTAAGTTATACTTTTCTAAATGGATTTATGCTTGATTAGTGACTCATTTGACTTCATAGTCTGAAATGGAGAAACTGTTTATATTTGCAATTTCTTCTATTATCAGAGCAACAGAATACTGGCAGTCCCTTGACCACTCCTGGGCAGAGCAAATATTACAAAACACGTTCTAAGACTAGTTTGTGCTATTTGTTTTTGAAAATTTCATAAGAAAAAAGAACAGTCATAAAATATGAATAAAGTAACACAAATTTTATTTTAGAATCATAAAAAAAGACAAGTTTTGCTGGTCTGTTAGAGCCTGGTGAGACCCCTGCAACTATGACCCATTGTTATCCTTCAGATCTAGACCTGAACTCCCTCTCGTGGCTTCCAGCCAAACATATAGGGTGAACATTTACATCAGGTAAATACACTCCTTAGAATGATCAATCATGGGAGTACAGAAGGGCAGTATTTGCACAGGCAGGTAGCTCAGGAGGCAGGAGTACATAGGAAAGAAGGACACAGGGAAGAGGTAACTACAGGGAGGAAGTGGGAACAGAGCTGTTACATTGTGGGAATTGCAGTCAATGTCCTGAAACAACATGTATATGAACTGCTGTATGGAAAATGAATTTGTTCTGTAAACTTTCACCCAAATCACAATAATGTTAAAAAAAATGATTTTAGATAAAAATTGTTATTGTTTTCTGAGAAATTTCTTGTGCTCTGTGGATTTTAGTCAACTGTGTCACACCATCTCCTTATAAAAGGAGATTCTGAAGCCCAATGAATAAGGGCCAGAATGAGTAACAGAATCTCTTCTTTTTTAATTGTGATTTGGGTGAAAATTTACAGTGCAAATTGGTTTTCCATTAAAAAATCCATACATACTCTGTTTTGTAACATTTACTGCAATCCCCATACTGTAACAGCATTCTTTCCACTTCTTCCCTGTACCTACCCCTCATTTCATTCTTCCTTCCCATCCCCTCCTGCCTTCCTAGCTCTATCCCTGGGCACATGCTATCCTCTTGATCTCATATGCTTGATTGTTTTAATGAGTGCATACCCTCCTGATACTACTGTTCGCATTATAGGTCTACCAGTTTTGTCACGGAACTTAATTACATTCAGTTCCTTCTTAGCTTCAGAAGTTTCTAAGGACCATAGTCTTTGGGGTTCTACCCGTCTTCATCAAACCAGTAAGCCTGGTCTTTTATTATGATTTTGAGTTTTGTTTCACATTTTCTCTCACTCTATCCAGGACCCCTTACTGTGATACCCTTCAGAGTGGCCAGTAGTGGTAGCCTGGCCACCATCTAGTTCTGGTTGCTATAGGTTACAGTCAACTCAATGACAGTAGGCTTGTGTTTGTCTTCCTAGCAATGTATGAGAGTTCCAGTTTCTTCACATCCTTACCAGCATTTGTTATTTTCTGTTTTTTTGAACTTTGCTATTAATGCTGGCATGAGATGATATTTCATTGTTCTTTGTTTTTCATCTTTCTAATGGCTAATGATTGTGAGCATTTCTTCATATGTTTGTTAGCCACTGGCATGTCTTCTTTGGTGAAGTGTATGTTCATGTCCTCTGCCCTTTTTCTTTAATTGGATTGCTTGTCTTCTTTTGTTGTTGAAGTATTGAAGTTTCCAATGAATTTTGGAGATTAATCCCTTGTCTGATATATCATTGCCAAAATTTTTTTTCCCAGTCTGTAAGTTCTCTTTTCACTCTTTTGACAAAGTCTTTTGATGCACATAAATATTTAATTTTTGGGAGGTCCCATTCATCTAGTTTGTCTTCTGCTGTTTGTGCATTTTTATTTATGTTTGATGGTGTATTTACACCAAATATTAGGGCCCCTAAGTTTGCCCCTATTTTGTCTTTGATGATCTTTATCATTTGGGGTTTTACATTTAGGTCTTTGATCCGTCATGAGTTAGTTTTTGTATATGGTGTGAGATGTGAATCCTCTTTCATTTTTCTGCAAATGGATCTCCAGTTTTGCCAGCACTATTTGTTAAAGAGACTATCTCTTCCTCATTTAATAAGTTTCAGCCCTTTGTCAAAGATCACCTGTCCATAGGTGGATGGATTTACTTCTGAAGTTTCAAATCTGCTCCATTGTTCTGTGTGTCTGTCATTGTATGAATACTAGGCTGTTTTGATTACTGTGACTGTATAGTAGCTTTTGAGATCAGGGAATGTGAGGCCACCTACTTGTTCTTCTTCTTTAGTAGTGTTTTGCTAATCCAGGATCTCTTTCCTTTCCATTTAAAGTTGGTAAATAGATTTTCCATCTCTTTAAAGAATGATGGAATCTTGATCAAGAATGCACTCTATTTGTAGATTGCTTTGGATAGTATTGTCATTTTCACAGTGTTACGTTTTCCTAACCATGTGTATGGTGTATTCTTCCTTTCATGTAGATCTCTTTCAGTAGAGTTTTGTAATTTTTCTTTGGAGATCTTTTATGTCTCTGGTTAGATTTATGCCTAAGTACTTCTTGTTTTGGGTGGCTATTAAAAATGGTATTGTTTTCCTGATTTCCATTGCTGAGTTCTCTTTGTTAGTATAGAGGTATGCTATTGAATTTTGTTGGCTGGTCTTTTCTTTCTCTCTTTTTTTTTTTATTGTGATTTGGGTGAAAATTTACAGAGCAAATTCACTTTCCATACAGCAGTTCACATACACTTTTTCTCATGGCATTGACTACAATTTTTATTGGTTGGTCTTGTACTCTGACACTTTGCTGAAGCCTTCTATTAGTTCCAATAGTTTTCTTATCAAGTCTCTAGCATTTTCTATGTATAGAATCATATCATCTGCAAATAGAGATAGTTTTACTTCTTCTTTGCCAATTTAGATGCCTTTATTTTGCTTTCTTCCTTTATTATAACAGAGTCTTTTGAATCTTCTATTTTTTTTTTTTTTAGAACAACCTGTTTTTCCTATAAATCAGAATTGGGTTTTTTTTTTTTTTAGTCTAGAATTAGATTTAATTTTATGTACAGATTTACCTGCATCAATTAAGGACTTAATGAGTAAGATTAGGTCAGCACTTTAAATTAGTTAGGGTATGTTCTAAGTATGCCAGTAAAACATTGATACCCAGTAATTTAAAGAAATAAATATACTCCGTGCACCTTTTAGAGTAAGTTTTGCCTAAGAATGCTGCTGTGCAGTCCATGTCAAGTTAATCAACAAGTCTTTAGTTAATCAGCAACGTAGCAAAAGTAATTTGAGTTAAACTTATTAACATGAAAACGTTAACGTATCTCAGATACAGCATAAACAATTCTCTGTTGTTCCTTTAAAATTGTGCAAGTGATTTTAAGACATGTTAGTTGATATTTTAAATATAATTTGGCTTATAAGGCAGAAATTATATTAATGAAAAGGGTTGATTTATTTTAAATATAATTTTCTGGTATATATGAAAATAAAATGTAGATATGTATTACATGCTATGGTTTTAGCAATATGACTTACATTTAAATATGACTATGTGGTACCAGCCACTCCTCGGAAGGAAGGTTGGGCAATCCTACTTCCGTAGTGATGCTGCCTCGGAAACCCAAGGAGGGGTCGCTATGAGTCGGGGCCGACTTGACGGCACACAGCAACAACATGTGGTACAGAAAATAGTGAATGCTATAAATATTTTTATGTGTTAAATACTATGATTTTTTTTTCATTTAACAGAGTGAACCTAGTATTTTCACGAAGTACCAGACAAAACCTCAGCTATTTGGAGGAGAGACAAAAGATGGTGGCTTCTTTCCTCTTCCTTTGCCAGCTGGAAAATCAAAGAGCCTCTTGGAACAGTTTGAAGAGAAAAAGAAAAGAGCAAAAGACAAATGTGACAGGTATGTAAACCTGCCAACTCATCTATTCTGAGGGAAAATGGAAGGCCAATTAATCACATCATTCAAATTCAGCATGATAGCATTCTTGCCTTTGTAGCTCATTTAATAATTACCTTTTATTTACTCTCTTATGAATATAACTCATAGTAGATTTGAATATGTCTGCCATAGTTTTGACCCCTCTTAAAAATAAAAGGAATTCATAGAGAAATGGGAAGGAAGGTTGGGCAATCCTACTTCCGTAGTGATACTGCCTCGGAAACCCAAGGAGGGGTCGCTATGAGTCGGGACTGACTCGACGGCACATAACAACAACAACAAACATCTATTTTGCCTAAAATTTTGCCCTTTGTTTTCCTTTCAGATCATCAGGATTAGGAAATTAAATAACATTGTTTTAGG